TCCTACCCCGGCAGAGCCACCCTGGTCACCTCCTCCCCCTTAAACTCACGCGCCAGATCGGCGGACTGTTTGGTGCCAGAACACCATTCCTGGGATTTCCACTCCGAAAATGAGCGTCACTGTCGCGCCTTGACAGTCCGAAGGCACCAGTTCTGGGACGGTAACCTCGAGAGTCCTCTTGTTGAGACCTTTTTTATGGCGAATGTGCGCGGCGCTGAGCTGAGAGCCATCGTTTGAAAAAGGAACCGCCCTCCATCGGTGAAGCTCTTGCACATTTTTCAGACGAGTGTGTGCGGCGTTGGGGGCGAGAGCCACATTTTTAGAACGTCCTGCCCTCCACCCGTTGAACTCTTTGAAATCTTGAAGACGATGACTGTGCGCGGCGCTGAGACAGGGGCCGCATTCTGAAGACCACCCGCCCTCCATCCGTGAAGCCCTCGCAAGCTTTCCGGGCAGAAGTGCGCGGCGCTGGGCCGAGAGCCGCACCCTGAGGGCGGCCCGCCCTCCGCCGGGCGAAATCCCCGGCCCGCCCTCTCGACGGGGTGGTATTAGTGATGATGCTGACGACGACGACGACGACGACGACGACGATGATGATGATCATGATGATGATGATGATGATGATGATGATGATGATGTTGACGTTGACGGTGATAATTTTTGGGCTGATGATGCGGATGCTGTTGCTGATGATGATGACGATGATGATAATGGTGGTGACCATGATGAGGACGATGATGAAGCTGAGGATGCTGATGTTGCTGCTGATGATGATGATGCGAATGATGATCATGATGCTGATGCTGCTGCTTCTGATGATGATGATAATGATGATACTGTTGGCAGTGTTGGTGTTGGTGGTGGTGGCGATGATGATAATGACGATGATGATACGGATGGTGATGACGATGATCATGCTGATGAGGATGATGATGCTGATGCGGGTGATGCTGCTGCTGATGATGTTGATGATGTTGATGGTGATGATGATACTGCGGCTGCTGATGATGCTGATGCTGATGATCATGATGATGATGATGATGATGATGATGATGATGATGATGATGATGATGATGATGGTGAAGATGATGATGCTGCTGCAGATGATGAATATGATGCTGATTGTGACTATGTTGCTGATGATGCGGATGCTGCTGCTGCCGATGATGATGATGCTGATGCTGATGTTGATGCTGACGCTGATGACTATGATGATGCTGATGATGATGAAGATGATGAGGCTGATGATAATGATGATGCTGCTGATGCTGATGCTGATGATTATGATGCTGATGCTGATATTGATGCTGATGATGCTGATGATGATGGCAATGATGAAGCTGCTGATGATGATGATGATGGTGATGCTGCTGATGATGATGCTGATGCTTATGCTGCTGCTGATAATAATGATGTTGATGCTGCTACAGTTGCTGATGATGATGATGATGCTGATAATGATGCTGCTTATGATGATGATGCTATTGCTGATCACTCTGAGGATGATGCTGCTGCTGATGATGACGATAATGCCGACGACAACGACGACGATGATGATTATGCTGCTGATAATGATGATGCTGATACTGATGCTGATGCTGATGATGATGACGACGATGCTGATGATGATGATGATGATGATGATGATGATGATGATGATGATGATGATGATGATGATGATGATGATGATGATGATGTTGCTGCGAATGATGATGATGATGCTGATGATGCCTAGGATGATGATGCTGCTGATGATGCTGCTGCTGATGATGATGATGATGCTGATTTGGCTGATGCTTATGATGATGATGACCCTGATGCTGATGATGAGGATGATGACGATGCTGATGATGATGGTGATGCTGCTGCTGATGATGATGCTGATGTTGATGCTGATGATGTGGATGCTGATAATGGAGAGAGCGTGATCCGCCGCCGCTTATACGACTGTCGCAAAATAATTTGCCAACCTTTCCTCCCGCGATCCCATAGGAGGGTCCCCCCCCGCCCCCCCCCCCCCCTCCGAAAATCCACCCTCCCCCCCTGCTGGGCCGCCCCCCCCTGCCCCCGTCAAACCCCTCCCCCCATCCCTAACCCCTCCCCCCCCCCCTCCCCCTCGAAACCGGGGGGGGTCACTACCGGTTCGAACCCCATCCCCCCCCCCCCTCACCCGATTCCGGAAAACAACCGTAGGGTGCTCCCACTACCGGTTGCGACACCCACTCCCCCCCCGCCTTGAAAACCGAGTGGGGTCCTACTGGGTTGAAATCGACCCCCTACCCCCCCCCCCCCCCACGCACCGCCAGCAAACGACTCCCGGTCCCTACCACCGCTCGCATCACATCCCCCACTGTTGTTCCCAGCACCACTGTCCTCACCACCACTGTCCCCACTGGTTCCACAACCGTCCCTATTGTCCCCACCAATGCCCCCACCACTGTCGCACTGTCCCCACTGTTCCCACAACTGTTCCCACCACGGTTCCACTCTCCCCACTGTC